AAAACATTATTCCCTGGCTGGTGTGCATCTGTGACAAAACGAGAATAAGAACACTAGGGGTTTTTCAAATTGAACCACATTCTTTTTGAGAGATAAAATGCTACTTGTTTTATAAAATCATTCTAATAGACCTCAGTTCGGGTTTCCCTGGAGGCAGAACCTATGATGGGGATTTGAGTACAAGTCGTTTATTTGGGAGGTGAAGGGAAGTCCAGTAAGGAAATGGAGTGTCACCAAGCCAGCTGCCACGGTGACGGACGGAGCTTAATCTACGAGGACGCCCTGGGAGAGTATAAATACACGCCCAAGCGATAGCACACCTGAGGCAGGAGGGAGCTGGGCCACGTTTACACTGTCATTAAACACTGCTTCTTGGGGCTTCATTCCCTGGCACTTCTGGCCGGCCACACACGTGGGCAGTGCTGGCCTCTGACAAGAGCCCTCAGCTGTGTCAATGTGGGATGTACAGACTTGAGAGGAATTTTGTTTTTACTGCCCCTACCTTGGCAAAATGATATGAGTTGTTGATGTTGGTTCCCCACTTACCTTTTCCAACTGTCCCCTAATTAAATCCCCAAACCCGAAAGTCTGGGACATTTACTCACCACCAGCCAGAGGTCATGTCAGCTGGTGACGTGACCAACAGTGCAGGGCATGGGCAGCTGAGTGAGGCAGCAAATTCCCGTCAGCCATCTGGAGGGGCAAGGATGACTCCAGAGCTAGCAGGAGAACCACCGCGGGGGCCCTGCTGACCCCCAAAGCCAACGAGGGCCTCCAGATTCCTACCTTCCTGGTCTCTTCTCTGATATCCTCTCTTGGTAAGGCAACTCCACTTAGGGAGGAAGAGGAATCATTGGATGTAGCGGGGACAGGATTTTGTTCAACTGTCCTCTCGGCAACGTGCTCCAGCCTCCCCTTGTGCCTCCTGGAGGCCGGCCAGCATCCACAGCAACCTCTGGAAAGGCAGTTAAGCACTCCTGGATTTGCAGCCAACAGATCACTATGTCGAAGGATGTCACGAAAGGCTCCAGATATATGAAAATATAAAGTAACCAACATTCTTTTTGGAAAGAAAACATTTTGGGAGGTGCAGAGGAAGGGGAAGTGATTGTGAAATTAAATAGTAATACAGTAACAACTTGGAGAAACTCAAAACTTATAAAACTGTTCTAAAGAAAACAGTTCATATCTGTTTAGCTTGGTTGGTATAATACTAGCTAGATTGGGCACTTTATTAAAAAAAAAAAAAGACTAATGGCACTTAAGGCCACTGTTGGAGAAACAGTGAAACTCCCACTTACTGGAGCAGATTCCAGCCACTCTCTGGCCTTTCAGAGGCCCGGTCTTCCACAGGTATGTCAAACTGAGCCAAAAAAGTTTTAACATTTCTTGAACAATTACTAATCTGTTAGAAACTTTACTCATTTAATTCAACCTTAATAATTACTGAGACAGGTCAGGCGCAGTGGCTCAAGCATGTAATCCTAGCACTTTGGGAGGCTGAGGCAGGAGGATCGCTTGAGGCCAGGAGTTCGAGACCAGCCTGAGCAAGAGTGAGACCCTATTTCTACAAAAATTAAAAAACTAGCCAGGCATGCTGGTGTCATGTGCCTGTAGTCCCAGCTACCTGGGAGGCTGAGGCAGGAGGATCGCTTGAGTCCAGGAGTTTGAGGTTGCAGTGAGCTATGATGATGCCACTGCACTCTAGCCCGGGCAATAGAGCAAGAAAGACCCTGCCTCAAAAAACAACAAAAAATTACTAAAACAACTTCATGAGATGGGTGTTATTCTCCCATTTAGAGTTGAAAAGAATCCAGACATGGAGAACACAAGTAACTTACCAAGCTTCTTATGGTAATTAGCGCAGACCTGGCATTCTAACTAACCTCAGTAACTCCAGATGCTGGCTCTGCACCATTTTTCTATTCCTTCTAACATTAGCCCCTGTCTTCTGACCCTCTCCTTTTGGTCTTTTGCCAGGTATTAGAAATCCAATAATTCAAAAGTGATTGTCCTTTTTTTTTTTTTTTTGAGACAAGGTATCACTCTGTCACTCAGGCCGGAGTGCAGTGGTATAATCATAGCCCACTGTACCTCAAATTCCTGGGCTCAAGCGATCCACCCAAGTAGCTGGGACTACAGCTGCACGCTGCCACACCCAGCTAATTTTCTATTTTTTTGTAGAGATAGGGTCTCACCATGTTGTTCAGGCTGGTCTGGAACTCTTGGCTTCAAGCAACCTTCCCGCCTCAGCCTCCCAAAGTGCTACAATGACAGGCGTGAGCCACTGCACCCAGTTGGTGTATATTTAGTGTATATTTTTAAACAGCAATTTAAAGTTTTTTCTTTTCAACTTTATCTTGGTACTAATTTCTAAAATTACTTTTGATCTCTAAAATTGTAATCAAATCTGCTAACATAAAAATCCAAGAAAGAGTCACCAAGGAAAGAATTACTAACAAAATTTTATTTGTAACAAACTTAAAATTGCTCCTTTGTCCACATGCTGGCCCTTCTCTCTCCCAATTCTTGCAAGACCTTCAGAGCTCCTTCCCAAAGCCAAGGAGGTGCCAAGGGATGTGAGAAAGTGACAGTCTAGAGCAGCCGTTCCCAACCCTTTGGACACCAGGGACCAGTTTTATGGAAGACAATTTTTCCACGGACCGGGGAAGGGGAGGTGGTTTCGGGATGATTCAATCACATTACATTTATTGTACAAACCTCTCTGCTAATGATAATCTGTATTTGCAGCTGCTCCCCAATGCTAGCATCACCGTTATCAATTCCACCTCAGATCATCACGCATTAGATTCACTTAAGGAGCACACAACTTAGATCCCTCGCATTCGAGTTTACAGTAGGGTTTGAGCTCCTAGGAGAATCTAATGCACTTGCTGATCTGCCAGGAGGTGGAGCTCAGGCGGTGATGTAAGCGATGGGGAGTGGCTGTAAATACAGATGAAGCTTTGCTTGCTCACCTGCTGCTCACCTCCTGCTGTGCAGCCTGGTTCCTAACAGGACTGGTAGTCCGTGGCCCGGGAGTTGGGGACTGCACGTCTAGAGCACTTCTGAGTGGGCTTAAGTGTTACCGAGTAAAACAAGATTTGCAGGGAGGGGGTGTAGGGGAAATGATGTTTCTTGAAAGTTAAACAATTTTTGTAACCTGATCCAATAGCTATTTCATCATGTGTTTTAATATTCAATTAAAACACACAAAATAGATGCAGGCCAATAGTCAATTTCCATGAGTTCAAAAAAATGAAGAATGTAAAAGACAGAATTAATGCTGTTAAAATTTACTTTAATATGCAATAATTTACTTGACAAAGCTTTACATATAAACTGTGTCATATATGTGTGCATATATAATTTAACTTTAATCTTGTCCTGGGGGTAAGTTAGATAGTATCTGAAGCACCCCATCAGGTGGCTAGGTGGATGCTTCAAACACTGCCATTTGAATCCACACTAGAGTGTTCGTTAGCATAAGGGATGCTAGTAATTTTTCATTGGTAAATGCAGCCTGAAAAGTGGTTGCTTGGAATGATTTTTTAGATGCAAAAATGCATGAAATGAGGTATAAGAATCTAGCAGATCCTGAGAGCTAATGCCTTTTTTGTTTTTGCTTTTTTTTTGAGACAGGGTCTTGCTTTGTTGCCTGGGCTAGAGTGCAGTGGTATCATCATAGCTCACTGCAACCTCGAATTCCTAGGATCAAGTAATCTTCCTGCCTCAGCCTCCCAGTTAGCTGGGACTATAGGCATGTACCACCATGCCCAGTTAATTTTTTCTGATTTTTTTTTTTTTTGGTAGAAACAGGGTGTTGCTATGTTGCTCAGGCTTAACTCCTGGCCTCAAGCAATCCTCCCACTTCAGCCTCCCAAAGTGCTAGGATTACAAGCATGAACCACCACACCTGGCCAAGCTAATGACATTTGATTTGTATCCCAGGTCTAGAGTTCTCCTTGCTCCTATACTCACCTCCTACCCGCACCACACAGGTTTAAGACTCTATTGCTTGGGCCAGGTGATTAGGTTACCTAATTCTGCTTTTGGATGTCACTGCTTCTGCTTTACTGTGAATCTTTTAATCAAGGTGTTTGTGGGATTACTTATGAGTAGAGAAAGAACTTCCCCAAACTTTCCAGAATCCCTTCTTGCTAATAAACTTGTCATGTGATAAAATTGTTTTAGATTTGCTTTAATTGTAACACACCACCAGGCAGTGAGGTTGTACGGGAGGACACATATAGCCTTCCCTTCCTGTAATAGCTGGAGGCCACCACCAAATAGACCTGTGATTGGTGAATGACTAAATTGGCCTACATAGTCTGTGATGGTGTAGAAAGGAAACTAAAAGCTCATTACTCTCATTTCATGCGGAAGGTCATATGTGATCCCTGAGCACTCCCCATAACACAGTGCCAATACTGAAGACCTCCTTAAGATCAGCAGGTAAATAAAGATTTTCAAGTGCTCGATAAAGCAACCCAGCTATTGTAAAGGTCCAGGTCATTCCCTGGCAGTGCTGCTCTTAACAGAATGTAGTTAAGAATTTTATACCATTTCTAATTAAAACTTGATTACTTAGAAGGCCTTCAGTTTGCTAATGAATGCCCAAGTCAAAAAATAAAAAGGAAAACACAACCAAAAGAGAACTATTGCTCTAAATTTTAAATAAACCTATTCAACAGGAAGTTGGGAAAATGTCATTGAGGTTAAATGAAGGACAATTTGAAAACTCAAGTTATAACATGTGAGAAACCTAAAAGTAAAACCATGTCAAACATTTTATTTGATATTTCATGCTAGGTTGATTTACACAAATAAAACAACTTTGTTGAACATTTTTTTTAATATAATGACTGTGTACATGGACGACTGAGAATAGAGAAAAGGCCCAAATTAATGTTTTAACAAATTACAAGCTCTTACTAAAGACCATATGCTTGGATTTTAAAAAAATAGTCCAATAGATGAATATCTCTCATTCAATCTAACAGATTAACCAATCCTTCTTTTAATAAAACCAATACATTATAATGTATAAATTTATCTTTTTAAATGCTCCACATAAAAACACGTGTTCCCTCTTCTACATGTAATCATTAGTAATCTCTAAAATGGTAAAATAAAATTGAATTTATATTAGCAAATAAAAGTGCAAGTTTGTACAGCTAGGCTCAGCAGCAAAGGTGGAGAACAAGAATGAAAGATGAAGAGCTGATGGATGCTTTGCAGAATGAGGATTCCATGAAGGTCCGTGTCCTGTGCACCAAACACAGTCGACATTCCATCATTTTTTCATTGCTCTTAAACGAGCAAAACCAAATTCTTTTTTTATTTAAAGAAATATTAAATCTTTATTTCCCCCCCACATAATTTGTCATCAGGTAAGGCAAAGATAAGTCCCACCATCACTGGGGACAGCAGCAACATACAGACTTCAGAAATAGCCCTGAATCATCAGCAACATTCTCTCATGGTAACATTAGAAGGAATTCATCTAAGAAATCAAATTTGCAATGTCGTCGCATTGTTCTAATTTATTTGATTAGTTTACCTGGAAAAGCTTTATAAATACATTATTTAAGAGGACAGTAAATTATTTCCTTGCTCTGAAAAATAATGTCTTTTCACATTTTAAAACTCTTTAGTATATGTTTGCAAAAGGAGTTGCAAGAAGACTGTGACAGCTGGGTTTGCAGAATGTCCATGTACAAGTTGCATTTATAAGAACCTGGTAATCTGCCTATAACTTGCTTCTACAAATAGAGCTCTTTGCAATATTTAAACAAACAGGCTCAAACACCTCCCCTATTCATTCTACTTGTAGAGCAAAGAGGTACTTATTTTTCAAGTATTATATTGTCAAAGGTAATTTTTTTTTTTTTTTGCCAATTTTACATGTTAAGCTTAAGACCAAAATATCTATGTGAAAAAAATCATGCCTAGTCAGCCCATTTCTTTTATAGCCAAATGCTCTTGTCTTTTAAAGAATGCAGAAAAATATTGATTTGCTAAGAAGGAGCACACCAGAAAAAGCTGTTCTAAAGTATTGGAAAATGAGGAGCATTTCTTTCTTTCTGTTGATGAATATTAGAAAAGCTACCCAGTCTGTTGTCTTTAGCTGGTTTTAATAAATTCTTTTTAAAACGATGGTCACGAAATCTTTAGAAAACTGGAGGAGGGGAGATGCTCCTTGACAGCTTTGGTTCTTCAGAAGAAATGCTCATATCACTTCTATATGGAGAGACAAGAAAAAAATAGATTAATATGATATTTACTTAAAATCTTATTTAAAGAATACTATAGTAATGTCTTACATTTCTAAAATATTACCATGCTGTTATATATGTTATCTTACATAAGAATAGGCAGTTTTGTCACTAGAAATAGGAGGAAAAAAATAGGCAATTTTGTTAGGATTCACAACCTTATATTTAAGTGAATTCTGCTATTAACAGGAAAATACATGTCCTTCTCTTTACTTCAATTTAGGCTATATCATTTACTTTTCAAATCGCATACAGATTGTACTTGGAGGTTAGGAATTTAAACATGCATTTCTCCTGTATCCTCAGTACCCAAAGCTTAGGGCTCCAAATATATGTTAGAGGTTAAAAATAAATGTTTGTTGATAAATAGTCATGACCCCAAAAGAACGCTTATACTACACAAGATCAAAGATACTGGACTAATTTTCCCAGGAAAGGTATGGAACGGTGGGAACAGTGAGAATGGAATGATAGATAACTCAGAAAAGGTGATTTAAGGCAAGTGAAGCAGAAAATCATTGGAAGGTCTTTCCCTCCCTGTGAATCTGTGACACGACAAAGTAGGAAGCTGCACGGGGCATGTTTCCACCAACACTCGTCAGACCGTTCCCAAAGGTTTAAGAATCCAAAAGTCAGACCAGGGAAAGGACCTTACAACCTCCTTTCACAGCCTAGAAAAGCAGACTTCACTGGAGTGAAGTTCCACTCCCAAGGTCAGGACACTAGCAGAGAAAAGAAGAGTAGCTTCATTTGGACGGGTGGTTCCCATTTGCTTTTTCACCTCATTAAAGGTCTATTCGTTATAGGTTCACAGATGGAATCTAAATGGCAAAACAATTGGACCACAGATAATTCTATACTGACTGTATTTAAATACCCTGGATTTGGCCAGTTCTGTGCCTAATAGTATAAAGAGATGCTGGTCAATACATGAAAGTGATCTGCTGGGAAGAGAAGTTGACAAAATTTGAAAGGTTTGAAAAGAGAGGGAGCTGGGATTATCCCACTTATTCTTGAGACTGATGGGATTGTACTGCTGAGCTGCTAAGACCATTGAGTTAGTACTATTTGAAGTTACTCATTTCTTTGGGTCCTGTAAAGCTATTGTTCTTTTTGCACAAAGACTTCAGGTCAAGTGTGAGCCAGAGAGACAGTGTATGAGAGAGTCACAGGCACTTTTAACAGCAACTTCAGTCACTCCTTGGACTCAGTGTGATCCTAGAGTCCTGGTCTCATTACTAAATGGTAACAATCCGTTACACTTTAAAGGATAGTAATATATTTATGTCATTAAATATGAAATGTCCGACTTCGAATCGAAGTGTAGTTTGTTATATCTCAAACAAGAAGCAGTGCAATTAATCAAAGTATGTACCTAAACTGTTGACACAGTTTTGCCATCTTAATGGTAGTTTCTTTATGCCAGCAGTGAAGCAGCCTGGAGAGTGAGTGGTGATGAAATCATGAAAGGTGTTTTCCACAGCTTGTTGAGAATGGAATATTTTTTCCTTGCAAGAAGTGGTCCAAAAAAGCCTGGAAGAAGTAATAGTCAGTTGGTGCAAGGTCTGGTGAATATGGTGAATGACAGAGAGTTTCCAAGCCCAGCCTCTGTAGTTTGAACAGTGTTGTTTATGAGTTGTTTGTGGGCAAGCGTGGTCTTGCAAGAGGATTGGCCTGTATCTGTTGACCGATCTTGGCTGCTTAATCACAAGCATCCTCATTTCATCCAAGTGGTTGCAGTAGACATCTACTGTAATGGATTGACCAGGTTTCATGAAGCTGTAGTCGATAATACCAACACTGGACCACCAGACACCATTAGCTTTTTTGGATGATTATTGGGTTTTGGACTATGTTTCAGCACTTCATCTTTATCCAACCATTGTGCCAAATCCTTGCAATTGTCAAAAAGAATCCATTTTTCATCACATGTAACAATACAGTATAGAAATGGTTCTCCTTTACGTCATAACAAAGAAAGGCAAGCTTCGAGACGATTTCTCTTTGATGCTCATTTAATTCATGTGGAACCCATCTATCCAGCTTCTTCACCTTGTCGATTTGTTTCAAGTGGTCCAACATTGTTGGAATAGTAACGTCAAACCTTGCTGCTAATTCACGTGTAGGTTGAGATGGATTCGCTTCCACTACAGCTTTCAGCTCATCATTATCCACCTTGGTCTCAGTTCGCCTGAGTAGCTCGTTTTTAAGATTAAAGTCACCAGAATGGAACTTCTCAAACCATCAACATACTGTGCGTTCATTAGCCACATCCTTCCCAAACACTTCGTTGATGTTTTGAGGTGTCTGCGCTGCATTGGTTCCATGATAGAACTCATATTTGAAAATAACACAAATTTTTGACTTACCCATGGTTTCACAAAAATTGCTCTAAAAAAAATTTGAAAGATAATCACAACCCAAAATGTATGTTTGAAAGACTGAGGATGCACCTTCACAATAAAAATAAAACAAGAAATGGCAAAGTGAAATGTCAGAGATAGCAACTGTCAAACTTAGTACTTAAGGAAATCAGACATTTCATACTTAATAACCTAGTATTACCCAGGTTGCCAAACTCAAATAGGAGAAAAAGGGTGGGAGAACATGATGGCAGTCTTCAAGTATCTGAAGGCCTGAGAAAGATGGAAAAAACCCAGACCTTTCTCCAGCAGACAGAAGTAGGCTCAATGGGATGGTCTGGAAGTTAGGGGGAGGCAGCTGTGTCTTATGATGAAGCACATTCTGCCAGTGAGTGCTGCTGAGCAATGAGTGCTGCTCTGTGAGGAGAGGCTGATGGACACCCACTGGGTGCTGCAGACCAGATTTTCTGCACCGAGTGGGAGAATGGGAGGTTGCCTGATCCAACTCAAAATTCCATTTCTATGAGTCAGGCATAATGTTTTCCATTGTGGCTTACTTGGTCCCTTAAAGGACAAAGTGTGACCACTGTCATGCTGCAAAAGGTAGCAGTTCATTCCCTCTTGGGAGTCACATATTTCTGACGATTACAGGAGGGAGTTTGAGGCAAGCTTACCTGCGGTCTGTTGTGTTTGAACACCATCTACCTGAGGCAGGGGCCCAAGTGTCCCTTCATCATCAAAGGCCAAAATTGGATTCAAAGGAATTTCTGGGCTCTCACTGTTGGTGACGTCTAATCTGGATGGTTTAGATCCAATGGGCAAGTTTATAATTTCTTCAAAATTTTCATTCTGAACAGTTACTCCATTTTCATTTGGTTGTTTTTCCAAATTGGGAGTGCTGAGGAATTTGAAAAATCAAAATTAAAATGAATTAGCATTAAAACTGGAAAACACATTTTTAGGATGACCGAAAATATCTTTCAATAACATACAATCAAAAATTTACAATAAAAATGGCAGAAAGATGGACATTATTAACAAAAACAGTGAATTGATATATTTGTAGTTTAAATTCTTATTTAAGAAAAAAATCTTCTCTTTTGTCATAAAATTTATCAAAGAGAATAATTTATCAATTGGACCAGATTATCAGCAATAGAAATAAATCACTAGCAGCAGGTCTACACATTTAACAATTTCGGCTACAAGCATTTTTACATCCATTTGTCTGGTAAAGAATAACACTTATGAGAACCTTTCTTCAAAGATCCCAGGATTATAATTCGGAGGGGCAGAGTAAATGAATTGCACAAAGTTACATAACTACTGAGAGATATTCAAGACTAAACGCATGCTCTCTTGATCTCTGGTCCTGTGTTTTTCTCATCAAGCCATTTTGTACACTCCTTGGCTATTCAAATTCTAGCACTTCCTGGATATCTCCCACCTCCTCCAGCACTTGCATAATTTCATATGTAAATTGCTCAAGACCAATCTTCTTTGCCCCTTAAATCTGCCTCTAACCCCATCTTACCTTTATTGATTAACTCATGCTTAATATCTTGGATTTATTTTTGAGATAGGTTTAACTGGCCATCAAATCCTTAAGTTTCTTTCTATAGTTTCTCTTAGATTGTCACTCCGTCCAAATTGGTAGCCCTTGATATTATATGCTTATTATTATGCTTTTCAATGTAGCAAAATAATGCCAAGTGGAGGCCTGGTGTTGTAAGTCTGCATGAGAGTGCAGTTGCACACATGTGCACAGGCACTCACACATATGGACTTGTGTGTGTACATACACATGCCCAACGCCTGCTGTTCTAAGTGTCTGGCTACCATACCCTCCTGTTCTTGCCTAACACCATGGGCTTTCTGTAACCAGGGAAACAGTTTGGGTTCTCGAGCCAAAGATAAATTAAGTAGAAATTTTGGCAAAGGATAAAGAACAGGAAATCTATCCCTGAAGTCCTGTCTCCCTGGCAATCATAACTCCCTTCACCTTCCAGGCCTGCATGTGCTAACAAGTCATAATGGCAACGGCCAACCCTAGACTTGAGTCAGTATCTGACTTCATCTTCTCCTCCCACCCCCACCCATCCTGTTAGCAATTAGAGGAATCATTGTGCCATATGCTTTGGATGACCAGTCATTAAATGTTCACGGGACACTGTGACTGGCAGAAACTATAAAACTGAAACTGAAGTCACTGGGGTTAGGGTTGTGGATTCAAGTGTCCTCTCTCAAGGTAAGGGCATCAGCTTTTGAATTTCCTTTCTCTGGCTACCCTCTGAAGGTTGAAGCCTGGATGCAACGCTTTTGAAGACTGAGTGTTTTGCTTGGACGGTCCAAAATGCATACAGGGAGAGGATGGGCCATGGTGGGAATCTGACAGTCTCGTCTGTTTGGCTTATCGGAGCCAGGACTTTATTTTTTCTTGCTGTTATCAATCATGTTATAACAGGTAACTTTTAAATTAAAAGTGATACACATCTCTTCCTATCTGAATGATAGGGGCTTGGGAGCGTTACTTTTCCTTTAGGCAAAACTGGGAGCAATGATGAAATCATAAGATTTGGAGGAAAGAAGACTGGGTGAAACAGCAAAATTACTAAAAAAACCCCTTATTTAAGAGAAGAGGACGAGTCTATTGAAGAGACAGCCCCCTAGGGCTATGAAAAAGCACATAATGTCTTCTGGGGTATTTGTAGAGTAAGATAGTAGCCTGTATACCCCGCAGAGCTTTTTAGCCTCTAGAATAGAGATTCTCAGCTGCGGGTGCAAGAACATATCAGAATGACCTGAGAAACTGAAAATTATCTCCTCTGCTCCCATTCTGATATTCGCCCCTCTCCCTCCCAACTTGTACTCATACATTTTTCTGTATCCTTCATTTCCTGTTCCAAAGCAAGTTTCTTATCCATGAATAAATATTCTCGTCAATTCTACAGGAGCTTCTGTCTACAGTGGCTTCGGAGATCCCCCCACTTAAGGTCATACACTGTATTCACATATTAATATTTCATAAATATATATTTCAAATATTTTATAAATTTCACACATTTGACATATGAAAATGTATATACTTGTTTTATAAGATTACTTTATGAAATTCATACACTTCTTTACACGTTTAAAAGCTGGCCAGAATTTTGACAACTCGCACCCCCCTCTCACCCTCTTTCCCCTTAGTGTCAGTGGGGAAAGGAGATGAACAAGGAGAAGGGGTTTGGGGCTGATATGTCTCATCAGGAGCTAGGTCAGGTTAGGAGTTGGGTGCAGGATGTTTTTGGTGCGGGGTTTCTCATAAGAGGCCTTAGTCCCAGCTGCTAGGAAAAGTGATGTTAAGAGGACACCATCCTCTTGGGGTGCTGCTGGACAGTTTGCTGACACCTCTCTCGGGGTGGGGAGGGGCAAATGTAATCTAGTTCACAGCATTCATGTATTTTCCTTAAGAAAAGGCAAACCAACATATCAGGCACTTAAGACATTAGGAAAAGTGGTACTTCTTCCAATCTGAACTAAAGACAGTCATTCTGACGAGTGGAGTTTTCTAGTGAAGACAAACTCTGCCACTATCCGTGAGGGGTTTGTCATGGTGCAGTTTCAAAGAGTATCAGTGACATCAAGTTCTTCAGAAGAGACCCTGGAAACTGTCTTAGGGATGGATATTAAAGATAAGAATAAGCAGGTCCTTCTCCAGATGGAAGAGTTTAAGTGGCAGACAGCCCCAGGGCTCAGTGCTGGGACTAGTTTTATAATAACTACCTGATAAGTAGGATAAAAATTTAAGTATGCAGATTATGTTTGTTCTTGGAAATGCAAGTCATAAAAATGGTCCCTTGAGGATAATAGGGAAAACCATTAAATGAGTGAAAAAGTAGGCGATCTTTAAAAGCAGTGGGTTTAGAAAACTGTAAACTGAATCATCCTTAAAAGACTGAGAACTGTCAGTCACAATGGAAGTAAGACATCTTGGAATCACTGTTGTGAACTGTTTCTCGGTGACATTGACTTTTTATGTTTTGGTGGTTAAAAAAAAAAGCCACTAAAATGCTATGCATGAGAAGACAGGACACCAGGAACATAAAAGCATTTTCTTCTACAACATCACACTGCAGCTACACCCAGGATACTGGGTGTCTCCTGGACACTGCATTTTAGGAGGACAAAGATAAAGACATCCAACATTTATATGGTACAACCCAGTTTTCAGAGCTCCTTCACAGATACCATTTCACTGGCATCCCTGATACTTTGTGGGGAAAATATCTCCATGTCCACATGAGAAAACTAAGGCTTAATTAAGTAGCTTAATCTCAGAGTTGCTGAACTTTTCAGGGATAAAACTCAGCTTGGGACTTTTTGGATGTAAAGCTCTTTTTCCTCAACCCCACACTCATGCTGAAGAATCACTAAAGAAATGACTAAAATGATCAAACACAGGGAGCCTTTTAAAGATAAGGTAAATGCGTCTGTTGATTTACTGCCTTTCAGCTCCAAATTCACCCTTCACTCCTGCTCTGTGAAATGGGATCTGGGCCCTTTAAGCAATTACCCTTTGCCAGCTTTGTCAGTGGAGGCTGCTGGAGAGACAGTGCAGGAGGAACTTTGCTTCCCGGCTGGGGTGTGCTGCTCAGCAGGATCCTCCAGCACATGCATGGCTTTCCTGGGTCCTGCAGTGCACAGCGGCCAGCAGCTCCCCCCAGCATTCCTTTGGGGCAGATGTGTGGTAGAGTGGCTCTGGTGAGACATGCTTTCCCAGACACTCTAGGGGGTAGATTTCTGGCAAGTTCTGCCAGCAAGAAAACACAGCAGCTTCTCTGGTATCCAGTGAGTCGCAGCCACATAAGCTTTCCAATAAGGTCTGGATGGCAGCCTTGGGGATGGGGATTCTTCCCTGGGTGCAGCCCTGGGAGTTGTGACTGCTCCTTGTATCTGCTATTCCTATATTCTTTGGAGCTGTCTTTACTTCTTACTAGCTGATCTCTGGTTACTGTATTCCAAGTCATAGTTAATTATTCTTTAAACTGTCCCTGGCCAAATCTATGGTTTTTGTCTCCTGATTGAACCCTAATAGTAAACATTAAAGGAATATTCAGTTTATAAAATGAAAGCACATAGGGAATAGAAACAAAACCCATAAAACTAAGAAGGGTATGGAGAATATGAAAAAGGACTTATTTCCTAAAACCTAGTTTATGATAACTACGGGTCCTAACTTTGAAATGGCAAAGAGTAGCTATAAGAGAAATAAAAGTACTTCTTTATGCACTTCTTTTCTTGTACTTGTTGCTATAAAAGCGGTGGTGCAAAGTGAAAATATAGATTGTTTCAAAATTGATCTGGATAAAATCAAGGAAGACAAATTTAAAAGTAATTAAAGGAAGCAGAATTTCTTATGCTACATATCGCAAACTGTGTGTCATGCAGTGGGAAACAAACTTAACATCACATTAAACATCACATTAAACATTCCCTACAGGGCAGTGTCATTCAGAAACGTATTGTTTCTCAAACTGGGGTCTAGTTCTCTACATGACTTTTTAAAAATTTATGTTTTCACTCAGATAAAATTTTTTAAAAAAACCAAAGTAGTCTGATTATCTGAGTGATTATCACAAAGCTGAGTTTACCACATAATTTTATTATTTAATTTTAAAATTTAAATATTTATTTATATTTTTTAATTTTTAAATTTACTTTTAATTTTTAAAATTTTTAAAAAACTTAAAATTTTTTTTTTACTGCACGATTTTAGTGCTTGATCTTGCATTTCTGTTTCAGAGCTTACTAATATCAGGTATCCCCAGCTTATTTGACAAGGGCTAATGACAAACGAACTAGGTTGAACTGGCTAAATAAATATTGTGCTAGTGCTATGTAAAAGCCAAGTGACATCACAGCACACTATAAGGAAAGAGGTTTGAGGTTTTGAAGCAGTTCACACAGAGAAAAGCAGTGAAAGGAATCGTCCACAACTCATGGTGGCATAACCATCCCTAATGCAAAAGGGTTCACTCAGTACCATGTGTATATTATCCATTTAATTTCAGAAAAAACATTTTTCTTCACAATAATTTGAATGTTCTTGGTCTAGCAGCTTTATTTTTTATTTAAATTTGTGATTTGTTGTTTTGGCTTTAAAGATGAATAAGAGCTATAGAAATTTTAAACCTAAGTTTATATTTGTAAAAATAATACAGGTAACTTTGGGAATCTGCTAGAATTTTTTTTCCCTTAACAGAGAGACACACTGGGGTAGACAGCCAATGGATTTAATGTGTTAGAGTTATTCCTAATTCTTATGTTTATATCTGATACTAATCTGGACCTGCCTACATTGTTAGGTGAAAGTAGAAAAAGTCTGTGTTTGTATTTCCCCTAATGGCTAGACGGAAATCATCTTACATGTTTGGCAAAGGAAAATTTATTCCTTAGGTAAAGATGGATGACACTAGTAAGTTCATTTTGATTTAATTACAAACCGATGCTTTTCTGTGTGTAGAGGAGGCTAAAAGAAAATGGAATTTTGTTATTTATATTATCTTACATAGTAAAATTATACTTCAGGTTCTTATATAATGATTAATTACTTGGTGAATTTACTACTGAAGGGAGTCAGCTAAGGCCTAAATTAATTTTATTGATCAGATAGTATTATCAGTGGCTTAATAAGCTATAGTATGCATTGCCTGTTCCTTATACTAATGGGATTCTTGTGTGGTGTCTTTTATTCTTTCCTAATCAATCTCTGAAGTCAAAGTCAATGAAATGAACATCATAAATTATAGGGAATTTTTTTTTTTGGAAAATCTAACTAAAACTAAGAAAAAATACCGTTTAATATATATCTTAGGTAATTTGACAATAAATCTATTCAACATAATTGAAAGTTTATTAAGATCACTCAGGAACATTATTCTCTTTGAAATTATAGTAAGCAAAAATAAATAAATACATATTCCACTGTCCCAGAAACATATCAATAGTTGGATGACTTATCTTTTAATTGCTGCCAATTACATTATAAAATGTTATATAGTATATGTGTTTTTAGATTAAGAAAGAATTAATTTGAGGAACTTGAATTCTCTGTTGGTAGCATAGACTCTGGCATTAAAGACAGAAAAGCTCATGAAATAATTAAGTAGATTCCCAAAATTAAAAAAAGCCATAGCTAAGATTTTGGAACATTTAAAAAAATATTTCTATAAGTTCTCTATGACTGGATTTTTAAGCACAGGCTAAGATTACCCTTATTTTTCATTTCTGAAAATGCTCTTATGATGCTGGTCAATATAATTGCAAGGGAAGAGAAAGGCAATCTTTTTCAGCCCACACTCCTTTCTTGACTGTTGTTAGTAACTAATTCCTCAATAAGAAACCCTGTTACTAATAATACATGATAAGAAATATTGGCATCCAAGTGAGTTTTATATGCAACAACCCTGTGACTCACTATAATATTATGTATGGCTAAAATACAATTGTTATATACCATTAAAGAGTGTGGATATGGTTCACGTCAGTTTAAATATATTCAAAGAAAACTAATAAATTACTCCCAGTAATATTCTTTAATAGCCGCACTAAAATCTCACCACCATATTTAAAGACTCAAGAATAAAGAATTACTAGTTCTACCAAAAATCAATGAACCCAAATAAAAATAAACTTAAAATTAAAACTGTGAAAATTTTGTCAGGCCAACGAAATTCCTGTGGAGTTGGTGGGGTAAAAACAGCAGTGCTTTCACTTTCTTTAATGTGTGTCAGTGAAAACTCACCTCTCCACGGTCACTTTTGATTGGTGTGAGGCAACCACATGTGGGCTGGTCACTGGCTCTCCATTTCCTGGGGAGTTTGTCACACATGGAAGTGCAGATACCTCTGGGCATAGCAAAGGAGACAGAACAAAGGGTTACTATTATTCTATTATTAGACCCAAACCCAGGGGGTCAGAATGCCTAGATTTATGTCCTGGTTCTGCTACTTACCAGTTGTAAGACCTTGGGCACATCACTCTAACTCTGTGCCTCAGTTTTCTCATCCATAATAGTACTTACTTCATAGGCTCAATGTTTTTAACACATTGAAGTACACAGAACAGTGCCCAGCACATTGTAAGGGCTAAAATAATATTATTTTTGCTTGTACTAAATTGGCTCTAGACAAAAAGTACATAATATTGAAACCAAAGCAACTGATGAAGATAGCAGTAAGACTGACGCTGAATAGCTTTACTGAAGGATTCGGAGCAAATCCCCATGGAACACCGTAAGAATCAGAAATATTTTCAAAAATTTAGTTTCAGTCATACTTAGAATGATAGGGATTTCATGAATGAAGGCCACAGTGTACTGCACCTAACTGTGCTACCTTGTTAGTCAATGCTCAATGTAGCAGTCCAGCGTAAGCCAACAATACTGATGACCGACTCTAAACCCTGGGACAGGGTCAAAGTCTTGCAAACCTTCATACAGGTCAGAGTTTCAGAGAAATCTGTGGCAGTTTATGGCTTCAGCTTGATGTGAGAGACTATCTGAAATGTTTCCAAGATAGTGTTATTTCACAGCCTGGCACAAACTCAATAAAACTGCCAGAGGTACAGGGGTTCTGTTAACTAAAGCAAAGAAGTGATTGATAATTTTAAAACTGCCCAAATTTATAAAGCTGGTAACAGGCAGCCTCTGAGAAGATATCTGATAGATCTGTAAACTTGCCTGCCTGCCTGCCTGCCCTAGAATTCTCTTTGTATCACTGGTAACACCATTCGGCCCTCAACCAGACGTAGGACTGGGAGAAAAGGAATATCTGTCAGGTAGCAGATAATCCTCAAGCCTCTTTTTGGCTATTTTAACTCAAACCAATTTATACAAGTGTTGATAAACACAGGTATGTTGATCAACAAGTTTTACCTTCCCTCTTGCCTTTGTTCATTCTTGGATTGCTTTACAAAGAATAATGAAAGAATGGATAAGGGAATAGCAGGAAGGGGAAAAGTGAAAATAAACAAGCAAACAAGGAGCCAGGCCAGGCACAGACTACGGCATCAGCCCCTCAAATAACTGACCTGGTGCAACTTACAGACTAAATTGATCATTCCGACAACTCACTGGGTTCTATGCCTGCTTATAGCCTATATTTAATTACAATAGTCTTGAAGACAGCACATTAAAAATGCAACGGGGTTAATACGCAACCATTAGGACTATTTCCCAAATAAATGCAACTAAGACATCTTTAAAAGAGCATCAAAATCCCACTATGAAGGAATCATGACATACAGAAACTAGAATAGCTTCTACTGAAATAAAACCAAATCCCAAAATACCAATAATACCTTGCATTTCAAAATCCCTAATGTTTATAGGGAATGATCTTTCACATAAACCATTTGATTTGATCTTTAATCCAGCCCTGTGAGGTGCTCCAACTTTTGTTTTCGTTTGTAAACAGAAAAAGAAACTGAGGTACCTCCGGTGCTTACTTTTCACATTGATACTGCGGATAAGGAAGGAGGAAGACCGAATGATGAGCTATCTACTAATCACGTGTGTGTACGATCACGAAGCCCATGTGGGATCACAGAAGGAACAGAATTAGGAGCGGATGATCTTGGTCACAGCTGCGTGAGCCGGGCCTGTTCTTAGACCCGAGTGCCTCTGGGCCAGTTTATGGTTTCAGCTTGACCTGAGAGAATCAAGCTTTCCTGTCCGGCTCAAACTGAATCCCAGCACCTACAACATGGCATGGTGCATAGAAGGGCTTTGAAAATGCTTGCTGACTCCATGAGAAAGCAAGCTCTACCTCACAAGGCTGCAGTTAGAATTAAATAAGAAAATGTATGAAAGGTGCATCTGACACAAAAGGGAATTTAATCAAATTGGTTGAATCTGAGTACTAAGGTCAATTCCACTTTTATTTAAATCACATTTGGCTTATAATCACCAAGAAATCAATCTCTGTCCAAAGCCCTATACCATATAAGTAACTTTCTAATGAAATTTCAAGATCACTATACATTATATATATGGAAACATCACTATAAACTCCAAGAATATGTACAATTATTATTTGTCAATCTAAAAAAAAGAAAGGCCGGGTGCGGTGGCTCACACCTGTAATCCCAGCACTCTGGGAGGCTGAGGAGGGAGGATGGCTTGAGGTCAGGAGTTTGAGACCGGCCTGAGCAAGAGAGAAACCCCGTCTCTACTAAAAATAGAAAAAATTAGCCAGGCTGGTGGTGTGTGCCTGTAGTCCCAGCTACTAGGAGGCTGAGGCAGGAGAATCAATCACTTGAGCCCAGTAGTTTGAGGTTGCTGTGAGCTAGGCTGACAACATGGCATTTTAGCCCAGGTGACAGAGCAAGACTCCATCTCCAAAAAAAAAAATATATATATATACAAAAAAGAAATATCAACAAATTTTTAATTTTAACTTTAGTCTGAAGTCAGAACTAAAAGAAACAACATTTAAATCTTTTTTTGAGAACTGTCATAAGTTGTCAAATGTGTAAATTTAAAGTCCATAAGAGAAAATATAAATACGTGCTACTTTAGTAGATAGTTCATGGTGAATGAAATTTAATTTTATAAATGCAAAGGATATTCTAATAGTGTGTATAAATACATATGTGGATAGATACAAATATATATTTATACACATGAATATATATAATGTAAGAGTATTTAAAATATTAAAGAATCCATTAGACTATAAACAAATGTGAAAAAAATATCTGGCAAAAATGCTAGGGAGAGTTTTTACATAACAGGAAATTTGTGGACCATATGACAGACACCTAAGCTTCTGTGAGTCTATGACTACTGTATCTTTTTCTCCCCCCTCCATTTATGAATATCTTGACCTCTAGAGAGTCAATTCAAAAATTTTATATTTAAATTGATTTGAGTTTTCATTGATAGAAATACCTGTTCCTCCAGTGAGAGCTCCCTTGGCTATATCACCGTTTCTCTGATCAATCGTTTTCTACCAAGAAGAAAAAAAAAAAGACTGTTAAAAACTAAAGTTGCACGTGGAAATAAAAAATAAGAGCATACAAGAGTTAGAAAATGCCATCTCAATACCTTATCTGTAGCTTCTGTTTTCCTGGTTCTTTTCATAATCTCCTCAAGTCGCTACAAGAAAGGAAGAATTGAGCAAGATGATCAGATACAGGGAAAAAAAAAGCCAACCTGGTATAAGTTACCAAAGAAATAAACAGCAGATTATAAAAACATGTCTGTTATTTTGGGAAAATATGTATGCATTGCTTTGTCTTAACTGTAGTTATTCACAAAAGTTGGAACTGGCTTAAGCTACATGACGTGGAAGCAACCGTTTTTGGTCAAGGCTAATCTTAGAAAGCAATTTCTTTGGAGGAGATTATTAATACTGAGGGCCACTTTAGTTTATCTGGAAAGGCTAGAACACATTTGTTTTCTGATGACCATGAGCTAGTCTTCTAGTCTTTAGACAGCTAGAAGTCTAGGAGAGAATCAGAACAATCTGTGCTGCAAGTTTCTGCTGGAAGGTGCAGCTACCTTCTTCCTCTCCAGGCGTTCCTGTTCTTCTCTCTGGAAATGCTTCTCTCGTTCCTGCCGGACCCTCTCTGTTTCTTCACGAACACGAGCTTCTTCTTCTTCTTTCTGAAAACAAAAGGTCAGCATCTACTTCTGACAAACAGGCCTGCTGTCCAGTCTCAGGGGACACCCAGAGGTGGCGGCAAGACGACAGATGGAAAAGTCGTGGAAAGTGAGAACACACACACACCAAACAGCGACCCATCTGAGATGGATTCCCACCCATCTCAAGTAGGTGTCTGCACTCAGCTGCCTGCTCCTGCAGGCCGGGGGCCCATACCTGTCTCTGGGCGCGCTCCGTCTCCTCCCGCTCGCGCTGTTCTCGCTCTTCTGCCTGCCGGCGCAGCTGCTCCTCCTTCTGCCTGGCCTGCTCAGCTTCTAGCCGTCGGGACTCTTCCTCACGGCGGCGGGTTCTCTCTTCAGCCACCCTTTGAGCCAATTCCTCCCTCTTTTGTCTGCAAAAAGACAAAAATGAAACAAAGACCCATAAGGGGAATTCCTTGAAGGGACGCCCGAGTTTGTGGTTATTGCAAGGACAGTTAGTTCAAAGGTCTGGCAGAAAAACCTCCACTGGAAATATTCAACTTGGTTAAGGGACAAAGTATGAAGCCACCCTCCTCCCTTCCCAGATTCATCACTGCCTGTGGTAAACAGAAGCAGAACATAACCACTAATGTTTTGGGGAGAACTTGCTTTTTCAAAGGATCTACAATTTAACTATCTTTGAAGGCTGAGATTTGTTTAATCCAAATAATGAGACTTTTTAGTCATGAATTTGAAGCCCCTCCCCGCAAAGAAAATCTTTGTAAATAAATGAAGGTCATAATGTTCTGTCACAGGACAGGAGGATGCTCCACATAAGCTCCCTGTGGGGACCAAAGGCAGGGAACACCAAGATGGCGCCCAGTACTGTGCATGAGATCCTTCCCCAAGGTGTAGTTCTGTTTGTCCGAAGAACAATTATATTGACATTAGCCTTATTAGGCCCAGAAGGTGACTGATTAAGCAAACTATCTCTGGCATACTGCCTGGCAGGCAATCATGGGGCATTTTAGTATCCTACCCAGTTACCCTCTGAGAGGAGTTTTATCTGAGAAGAAGAAAACATGAACCCTTACTATGCAGCTTTAAAATAAGAATTACAAAGATAATGAGGAAGTCTGGAGATCGGAGGTCTGTTAAGTAAAAAAGAAGATTGCACAACTGTACCTCAATTGTGGTTATGATTATGCAAATTTGCATGTATAGGTATGTATGTATGTATGTGTATACATATATACACATCCCCTCCCCAGTGTTCAGAGATTAGAAAGGACCACCCAAAATGTACACAATTACTGAAAATCAGTATTATTATGGATAAATATTTTTGTCCTTAAATCTTTCTCCATCAATGTTGTTGTATTGTTATTAAAATAACAAAACATGATTTAAAAAAAAAATCACTTAGTGGACAAAGGAACACCAAGTAAGAGTAATTCTGAAACAACTAACCTATTCACCTTGGTTACTACCACCACCTCTTCCCTCTCAGAGGGGAGAGTTAGTCAGTCCAAGGTATCACCATGATGTCACTGACACCACGTGGTTGAGCAGTGTCTCCTCTTTACCTTTCCAGCTCTTCTTGTTCCCTCCTCTCCCTTTCCTCCTTCTCTCTCTGCTCTCGGGCCAGCCGCCTCTTCTCAGCTAGTAGCCTTGTGGCCTCTTCTGGGTCGGTGGTGCCTGCGGAAGTCTTGGGAGAAGCACTGGCAGTAGCGGATGATGGCGCTGGGACCGAGGCTGGGGCGGGGACAGAGGCCGGAGCTGGGGCTGAATCTGGAGTTGGGGCCACAACTGGAGCAGCTGTACAAATACGTACAAGGAGAAAGCCAACTGGAAACAAAACCTAAAGAACAGAACAAAACTACCATTCCCGACACCCCAGGCCTAGAATTCATCATTATAAAAGAAAAGGGAATATTTATTATTGTGTGTTCTCATGGTTTCACTGTATTCTATCTGTAACCAAGCAACAGATAACAAAAAAACTAATTGTGTAAGTGAGACATCCAACAAAGCTGACACTCTGTCACCAAGTCTTATTTTTACGCCAGTTAAATCCATTTATATTGAGTGTGTACTGAGTGTAGAGCCTCATGTTAGATTCTGTGGGAAGTTATACCCTGAGCAAAAAGATGAGATCTCCCATTTGTGTTTTATTCCTACTGTTTGGTGACCATTCATTACGAGAGCACTAAAGCCTTTCTATGACCATCCTCAGAGTCCACGCCATGAGTCCAGATTCAGGCTGGGAAGATGACACCTTGTGAAGGGGACCCTTCTGTCTCCCCAGAGCTGTCTCAAGGTCTGCAATGGGAGGAGCCCGGGGCCCCTTTGGTAGCTTGCACTCACCCTGCTTACACATCCCAGGCCTCCAAGATGTAAGATGGGAGCAGAAGTTCTCTGGCCTTATTTAGATTTGGGAAGATGACCTAGAGAGCTCGTGTAGCAGGGAGCCCCACACAGACACCACGATTCTGCACCACGGCAAGTGAGGTGTAATCTCTGGTACCTAATCCCTCCAGATTTACATTTCTACTTTTGTTCCCATAGCTTTTGCTTTGTCGTCATGATTGTGATGGGGTGAGTGACCAGCACTGTGCCCACACCATGGCCTCCGTCTCTGAGCTTGCCTGCCTCTGCATGATGACCTTGTGACAGCGGCTGGTGTAAACGCTGAACCTTTTTGGCCTGGCTTGCTTGCAGAGGCTGGGGCCGGTGTCAACATCGGGAGCCCCGACTGCAGCTCAAGGGCTGGCGGAGCTGCCCAGAGCTGGTGCTGCACTGGCAGGAGGCCCTGCTCCTCCACATGCCCCCCAGCTGAGGAGGAGGAAGTGGAGGCGGGGAAATATGAGCCTGAGGAAGACATGAGCTTTGGGGTGTTTTTGACTAAGCCTCTTTTGGAACATGTCCAATAAAAAAAATTTCTCCCCCATCAATTCTTTGAAAATTCTCCTTTCAAAAGGTGGAGACTAATCTCTCCTTGAGTGTGAATTTAACCTAGTGACTTGCTTCTAATGAACAGAGTATGACTGAACTACTGATGGGTGACTTCTGAGATGGGGTCATGAAAGACACTGGCTTCCTCCTCATTCTCTCTCCCACATCACCTGCTCTGGGGGAATCCTGAAGAGCAAACAGACGATTATGAGGACATCCAGTGACACTCTGGAGAGGTTCATGTATCATGAAACCGAGGCCACCTGCCAACAGCCATGTGCATAGCCATCTTCCAGCTTTGGTTGAGTCTTGAAAACAACGGCAGCCCTGGCCGACAGCTTGACTGCAATCTCCTTAGAGTCCCCGAGCCAGAACCACTGAGCTTAGCTGCTCCCGAATTCCTGACCCAAGAATCCGTGTGCCATAATAAAAGTCTCTTGTTGTTTTTAAGCTGCTAAATTTTAGGGTAATTTGTTACACAGCAATAGATGACTAATACAAGAGATTCTGACGCAGGTGTTCTGAACACATTTTGCGAGACCCTGGACTCAGCCACTAAACTCACTCGGAAACTATGACTGAAGTAACAGGCTGTGGCTCCAACAATAGGCTTTTGTATAATTTTACTGCTTTTATATGTAAAAAAAAGTTATACTTAAGAAAAGGTCCCAAAATTAGCCTGAGAGTAAAATTTCCAAGTCTCTAATATGAAAAGGAAAAGAAAAAGCTAAATAAAAACAGTGCAGGAGAAAAAAGAACAACAAACCCACATCCCATCACAAGTCAGTTCATTCTCACCAGGGTCGGCCTCTGGTTCGACAGGTGCCCTCTCTTCAACGGTGGCTTCTGCTACCTTCACTAAAGGTGCTCTGCCCTTTAGTGAGGGCTCATTGGCAACTTTCTGAGGTTCCTTCTCAGGCTCTTTTTTCTCAGGCTCCACTCTGACTTCTCTCTTGACAGGGCGGATGTTGCCGGGGGACGGGGGCCGGACCTGAGCAGGGGCAGCTTTGAACGAGCCGGGGGGCAAGGAGGAGGCTGGTCTGGGTGTGCCAGGCAAATGAGGAAAGGACTTGGACGGGAGCCTGGGCAACAGACAGACAAGGCAGAGAGAAGGGGACTCGTCAGGATAAGCTTGCCAGACGTCACTTGATGGAAAAGCAATGCAGATATTACATTTAGCTATGTGTATTTGTCTTTTAGGCGGTAAATGCAGAAATAGAGTCACTTTAGAGACCCACTGCAATTTTCCTTTTTTCTTTACTTTCAGGAAGAATGTTATTCCCTGAGTCAAAGCCACACAGCACGGGGAGAACAGTTCACCTTCAGAGGACAGAGGCTACCAATTCTTCAACATGGAACAACCCAGCCAGCTTCTCATATTTCACTTACCACAGGCGAGAGGGAGCTGGTGATCTTGCTTTGGGATTGGATGGAGATAGAGCCCTTCGGATGCCAGATGTAAGGTGGAAGGGTACATTTTCTCTCTCTCTCTCCTTTTTATAGCCCTAAGTTCAGAGAAACTCAATCATTAGATTTTTTTCTGTGAGTGAAGCAACCACATTTGCACTATTCAATAATGGAGCTGCAAATCATTTAATGACTTTTTAGAAATTCTCTAAACTCTGCCACATATATCCATTCTGCCTCGAAAAAAGGCCCTTGTTAGTTTACAACCGAATAGTGTAACCGAACTAACACAATGTGACTAATAAGGTGGTTCTAGATGTGTGATTTGGAGTTGTATTTGTTTTTAAAAAAATACCCTTATACTTTTAGATTATCTGAAGCAAAATCTCAGTCTGGTTTATTCTACAGAAATGTCAAAAAAAAAAAAAATTTCCATTCTTTTCCTAACTTTTAATTAAAATACCTTTTTAATTTGTTAGCTCTTTCCCTCAAAACATACTATAGCTCAGTTTTTTAAAAAAATTTAAATGCTGCTATATCAAATATTAATTCATTTTTTCCTTTATATTGATGTTAGAGAAACAAGCCTTTTCTCATGTAGTGTCCTCTTTGCTCATGAAGAAAAGTCAGGTTCAAGGTGAGGAATTTTATCTATTTTTACTTTTTATCAGATACGGAATTGAAATCAGAGGGCGGGCCAAAACATCGGCCCTCCCCTGACTGCCAATTAGGAATACAGCCAGAGAGAAGGCACCTTTCTTAAGTCAAAATGGGCAAAGGGAAGCCCAGAAGAGTGTTCTGATGTTGTAAAGTCAATCAAGACAAAAAATGCACCGAGTGAAGCAGACCCACTTAAAGTATCTGAGACGTCCCGACAGTGTTCTGGGATGGGAATGGGTGTGTCCTGGAGGTGCCTGTGTGCACAGGCTGCAAGGGTGCCAGCGAAGGGGCAGAAGATCGTCTAGCCTCAGGGCAAATAAGCTGGTAGTGCACCTGTCGTTCTCTTTCTGCCTGGCTCACACATCAACTGCTTCTTTCTTCCCTTCCCTTTTAGTCTCCTCAGTGTCCCTTCTATTTGCTTCTCTCCATTTTCCTAGTTGATGGACTGAGCTATGGGAAGGGGAAAAACAGCTAAGTGTCAAATAATGCTGACTGTCTCCCTGGAATTTCTAAATAGGAGAAATGAAGAGGCAGCAAAGAGCTTCACGAGGTGTGTGCCAGCTCTACATCGTTTCCACCCTCTGCTCCTGTCTCTGGTCTCAGAAGGTGGAGCCTCGCCGAGCTGCTGGAGTCCTTGGGGAGCAAAAGCTGCAGCCACTGTATGGTGCCCCCATGGCTGGTACACGGGGTGGCAGGCCCAGGGCTCTTCCCAAGGGAGGGTGGGGCTAAGCACCTCCAGCAGCCTTTCTTTTTCTTTTTCTCAAAACATTTTGATTTGGCTGAAATCAGATTAAACAAGAGATCAAAATGGGAAGTAGAAAGGACAATTTTTGATGTGGGGGGTTTGGGGCTGAATTTTATTGTCTGTGCCTTGATAACACAGGGATCAGGGAATAAATCTATATAAAACTATATAATCCTCAGATAGTCTGCTTTTTAAAGTGCCACTAAGGCAATTACTTCTTTCTCTCCTAAAAGTGCTCTCCTTTAATCACCTAGGGGTGGGAGAGCAGGGGAGGAGTGGTTTGAAAAAACACTCAATACTTGAGTTAACAACCTCCCCAGCAGGTAGTTTTTTTTTTTTTTAAACCATTTTAGTCCTTTCATTGCTCTTGTACCCAGCCACCTATTTGGGTACCACACATATAAAAGCACTCCTGATCTGCACCCTGATCTGAGTGAATAGCCGCAATCTGCACAATCATCTTTCCTTTAATACTTTCCACAGTGCTGAGGGGGAACACATGGAACAAGTCAATGGTCTGGACAACCTACCACTAAGGAGAAATTTTATAAATAGAGGTAGATTTAGAATACAGTGTAAATATCCTCCAAGAGACAATGCACAACAGATACTCTTAAGGAAGTGCTGCTCAACAGAACCTTCTGTGATGATAGAAATGTTCTAAATCTATGCTGTCCACATAGTAGCCACTAGCCACATTTGGCTATTTGAATTTAGATCTAAATTAAATAAAATTAAAAATTCAAAACATTTTCAGTGCTCAACAGTAGCCATTTGAATTTAGGTCTAAATTAATTAAAATTAAATACAATAGAAAAGGAATTTAAAAAAACAATTCCATTTTCGATAGCATTCTTTTAAATAAAATACTTGGGAATAACTTAACTGAGGAGTCCAGAGACTTGTATGCTGAAATCTACAAGACATTGTTCAAAGAAGTTAAAGACAACACACGTAAATGGAAAGGGACGCTGTGTCCCTGGATCGGAAGACTTAATATTGTTAAGATGACAACACTGTCCAAAGCTATACACAGATTCCATGTAATCCCTGCCAAAATCCCAATATCATTATTTTTTTGCAGAAATAGAAAAATCCATTGAAAAATTCATATGGACTCTCAAGGGACCCCAAAGAGCAAAAATAATCTTGAAAAAGAAGATCAAAATTGGAGGTTTCATACTTCCTGATTTCAAAACATATTACAGATTGAGCATCCTTTATCCAAAATGTTTGGGACCTCAGAAGTGTGTTGAATTTTGGATTTTTTCAGATTTTGGAATATTTGCATTAATACTTACTGCTTTAGTGGCATCCCTAATCCAAAAAATCCAAAATCAAAAGTGCTCCAATGAGCATTTAATTTGAGTGTTATGTTGGCACTCAAAAAGTTTCAGATTTTGGATTTTCGGATTAGGGATACTCAATCAATACAAAAGTACAGTAATCAGTACTGTGTGGCACTGGTACAAAGACAGACACATAGACCAATGGACTGGAATAGAAAGTCCAGGAATAAACTCTGATGTATATGGTCAAATGACAAGACCACTCAGTGAGAAAAGGACACTCTGTTCAATAAATGGTGCCAGGAAAACTGGATATCCACATGCAAAACAATAAAGCTGACACCATCTGGGGGATGGACTGCCTGAAGCTCTGACTCAGGTGGGGCAAAGGCAATATATGTAACCTAAACATTTGTAGCCCTATAATATGCTGAAATTAAAAAAAAAAAAAAAAGAATAAATCTGAACCCTTACCTTATATAACATACAAAAATGAAGTCAAAGTGGACTAAAGTCCTAAAACATATGACATAAACTATAAAAATCCTGGAAGAAAACATTGGTGAAAAGCTACACGACATTGGTTCTTGTACTGATTTCTTGGCTATAACACCAAAAGGACAGGCAACAAAGCAAAAATAAAGAACATCCAACTTAAAAACTTCTGTGCATCAAAGGAAACAATCAACAGAGTAAACAGGCAACTTATGGAATGGGAGAAAATATTTGCAAATCATATATCTGATAAGGGGTTAATCTCTAGAATAGATAAATAACTCTACAACTCAACAACAAATAGCCTGACTAAAAAGCGAGCAAAGAATATGAATAGACATTTCTTGAAAGATGACATATGAATGGCCAACGAGCATATGAAAAGCTTAGTATCACAGATCATTAAAGAAATGCAAATCGAAGCCACAATGCAGTATCACCTCATATCCATTAGGAGGGCTATTACCAAAACCAAACACACACACACCCAGAAAATAACAAGTGTCAATGAGAATGTGGAGAAACTAGAATCTATGTGTATTGTTGGTGGGAATGTAAAATGGTACAGTTGCTGCAAGAAATGAAGGCTCCTTGAAAAATTGAAAATAGGATTACCTTATGATCAAACAATCCCACTTTGGGGTATATATAAAAAAAATTGAAAGAAGGATCTTGAAGACATATTTGCACACCTATGCTCACAGCGGCAGTATTCACGAGGTGAAAGCAATCCAGATGTCCATCAATGCATAAATGAATAAACAAAATGTGGTATACACATACAATGGAATATTATTCAGCCCTAAAAAGGAAGGAAATTCTGACACGTGCCACAAGGATGAACCTTGAGGACATTACGCTAAGTGAAACAAGCCAGTCACTAAAATTCAAACAGTGCATGATTACACTTTTATGTGGTCTCTAAGGTAGTTAAATACATAGAAATAGAAGGTACAATGGCAGTTGCCAGGGGCTGGGAAATGGGAAGTCGTTTAACTGGTAGGGAGTTTTGGTTCTGCAAGATTTAAAAAGTTTTGGAGATTGCTTACACTATAATACGAATATACTTAACATTGCTGAACTTCAAAAGGGCTAAGATGCTAAATTTAATGTTATGTGGTTTTTACCACATTTAAAAGATATTTTAAAAATTAAAAATCCAGTTTGTCAGTCTCACTAGCCACTTCCAAAGTGCTCCATGTAGCTAGTCACTACTGAATTCATTCCATAGTGCAGTTCTGAAGGGTAACTGACACCTGGAGTCATTTTCTGGTGGTATGTATTTGCCTAAATACTTGGTTATAAAGAGGTGAAAAGAAGGTTAATCGATCAAATGAAGAAAGAGGAAGGCATTAAAAACAAAACAAAACAAAACAAGGCTCTGGATTATGTGATGATAAATTCCCCTCATTTACTTTGTTAGCCAGGGTCAGCCCTCTATCTTCACTCAAGGAGTGTTAATTTTTGTTTTTACCCAGAAAAAGGTATTTTTCCTTTGGTAAATGCTCTTCTTACCTGCCCGATGAGCACTCAATGTTTGGGGCCAAAGCTGTTCTGTTTAACTATGGCTTTTTGTCCACAGCTAGTATCTCTGAAGCACCAACACTAATGAATTAAAAGCTTGACAGACATCAAAGGTAGTTTCACTTTTGGCTTAGAGGGTTGAAGGCCTGACTCAATCATGAATTAAATACTGTCTCAGGAAAGCCTGAAGGGGCTTGAAAGAAAACTGCCTGCAGGTCAAGCCATCAAGGCTTCACAAAGCAAAATCCTTTTAGGTGTCCATCAGGTTTATACAGCTGAATTGCTCTGGGAAGTTAAGATAAAAAAAAAAAAAAAAATGTTTCAGCCTTTTTTAAAAGGATCATACTATTATCATGAAGAGAGTCAATGAGATCTTTTGGTTGATTGGTGAGTCTTTTTTTCTTTTCTTTTTTTTTAATAGAGACAATAGAGACAGGGTCTTGCTCTGTCACCCAGGCCGAAATTCCTGGGCTCAAGTGGTCCTCTGGCTTTGGCCTCCCAAAGTGCTGGGATTACAAGTGTGAGCCACTGCACCCGGCCCAATTGGTGAGTCCTTTAAGACTAAAGGAGAAATGTCTGAAGACCTTAGAACAATGTTTACATCTTTCAATTGATACAAATAAACACAGGACTTAAAACAAAAAAAAAAAGATGCCTGGCGACATACAAATTACCTCATTGCATTTACACCATGGTGAAAATTAACATTAGCTCAGTCACCTTGCCAATAAATAGCAAGCACAAATTACGTTCTTCACTTGCACAACTTGAGTTTAGAGCATAGCCTAATAGCCTTTCAAGAATTAGTTATTTAGCAAATAACTACTGTTTTCAAAATACTTCTTCACTATATTTTAAGATCTGGGCCTTGTCAGGGATTAGCTAAGCCGGATAAAGATTCTTTATCTTGCTTTTTAAAAAACCACATTTAGAATTCAGTTGGCTTCTTGATATGGTTGGAATAAAATGTCAAGGTGGCAGTCCAGGCCCACTTACACTTCAAAGGCTATTTGGTTTTCTTACTTTCAAAAATGAAAATATTCTGTCATTGTACTTATTTGCATGGCGGCTCTGGTAGGGTTGGCATGCTCGAACAAAGAACGGTTTTCATTTTCAAATTCCAATTTTTTGGGAGAGCAAAATCTCCAAGTGGAGAGGAAGTGGGAAGACACTACCAGCTAGCCAGCCAGATGTGCAATCGGTGGGACAGAGGGGATGTCACAGCTTCCCCCCTTACACCCACACCGCACCTGGGAGTAGTGTCCACTCTGCAACAGAAACAGCACCGGCTCCCAGACTCTCCCAGCTGCTCCCAACAGCTACTCACCACTGTGCCATGAATGGTCCTCCTGCGCGAAGAGCCCTCAGGTGGTGTTACAAAGAGTTTTGGTCGATCTGTCGGATTTCTAGAGTGTGCAGCTTTGTAGGGCATGATGATGGGGCTGCAAGATGCTGAACGAGGACAAATGGGGATAACTAGGGTGCAGGTGATTGGTTTTACACATAAGAGTGCCAGAGGAGCAGTTGAAGAAAGCCAAAAGCAGGTTCAGGAAAAGGAGCCAAGCGGAGATAGAGAGAAAAGTAGGGAGAAGATGTTATTACCTACAGGTGCCCAGAACCATCATACTCAGCTGTCCTCATAGTCCTATGAGTTTATGATGTGTCCAAAAGGAAAGCATGTCCTAGTGAGAAATCTGGAATATATTGTTAGCTATTTGGCTATTTAAATACTGATTAAAGATACAGATGTAATCCGATAATTATGGAGAACAATGGCCTTATATTCCTATCAACTGATGGTTCTGGAAAAATGCTACATTAGTGATATAAGTTTTATATGGGACTGGTCTATAATTAGATTTTTCCTAATTAGCTTTAAGATGGAACAAAAGGTGGAAAGAGAGGAAGCGTGCAAGCAGGCAAGCAAGATATACTGCAACTATTTCAGGATTCAAGTTCAACAGCCAGCAAGGGGTAGGGGAAAGCAACTGAATTTAAAAGATGTTAAATGACCAAGTCTTACCAAGTGTTAAGACTTGTCACAAGGATAAGCAATAATTTCCAGAAAAAAATTATTCTGTAAATGTTTTATTTACAGGCAAACCAAATGCATGCTTCTGGGTTTTACCAAAAGTCAGAGCATTTGATGGTTCATAAGAAGCAGCATTAGATCATAAGGGGAGATTGGATATAACCATTTAAAACGATGAATAGAACACAAACATGTTAGAATTGACAAAAATAAGGTTGAATCATGAATAGCTTTTACAGTTTTACTCAAGGTGGAATATTTTTTTGAAAAACCACACAGTCTGACCATTCACCTTCAAAGGAACACTGTTGTTAATCAAGTTATTTTGAGCAACAATGGGTTTAAAGAAATTCAGGTAACACTGCACAGATATTAAAAGAGTGGGTACCATAGTTCCAAGGTCTACTTTCAGATTTCATTCAGAAATCTTGTTTTCCAGCAAAAATAAGATAAACTTGACTACTGAGAAGAATACTATGAATTTGGACAGGGTCATAAAATAACTTTACTTAAATCTAGCCATTGTAGCAACCCTTTAAAGAAACCATATGCCAGCTGAATGTAACAGTATTAACAAATTAAAAACTCAAAAGTTTACATGACAAATTTGGGATAATCTTAATTTCAGAATTATAGAGGTTGAAAAATATTTAACTGTTATCTTGGTTTAGTCTATAGACAGAAAGTTGATTAGACTGCATCTTTATTAATGTGCTCTCTTTCATTAAATGCCTGGCAGTACCCATGGCTATTACTGAATGGTTGAGGCAGTGAATAGATTGCAAACTGCACTCTCTTCCCCTCATTCGAAAATAGAATTCTATTTCTTCAAAACTAAAACAATTTTCATTTCCTCAGTTCTCCTTAAAAGAACGTGAGTCTTACTTGGGAAGTGAAATAAAGCTTTACTTCCAACCTTAATGGTGAAGGAAGGATTTGTATTGTGAGGAAAGAGAACCTCTTGTCATTTTGCTTGTGACACGGGGGAAACAATTTGAAAATAACCTTTTCTCAAGTGCCACCACAAGACATTTGCATTTTCCAGACAAGAAAGAGTTCATTAACGCAAACTTCTTCCAAGCCAATCAAATGCATTAAGGAATAACATCTTGGCAAAAGGCACCTCTGGGGATTAATGATGAGGAAGAGAAGCATACACTGCTCAGGGCACAGGCAAAGGCCATTAACCTTATTCAAGGATCAGGAAACCCCAGAAAACAGTCTTGCTCTGAGGCCATGGGTCTGATGCTAAAAAAGGAATGAAGCACAGCAATATGATTTCTTTTCCCTCTAGTGGAAAATAACAATTTCCTGAGGCATCCATGCAGGAGTTCCTGAGACCATCATGGATGTAAGCTAATCTTATCATGCCTTCTGGTTTATTCTTTTAGTGTAGAGGTAATATTACATACAGTTTGAAAATATTCTTAAATCTGTCTAGTATAGTCCATAGAAAAAAAATCATCAAATTTAATTGTCCAAAGAACATCTTCTGGCTACAATAAACATTATAGGACCCTTGTGAGGTTATTAAATTTCATGGAATTCACTGCTGTACTAAAACAGCAAGTAATGAAAAACCTGAAATCTTTAAACCGATTATTTGTATTATCTTGCCCTTCTGAAGAAATAGTAAGAGCAACATACAGTTATTTTTTTCCCCACAGTACCCTCCATATCCCAAGTAGTTTAATTAAACATGAACACTGTCTCATGGAAATGTCTCTGAGAAAAGTCTTCCACAATATCCCTATCTCATCTTGTAAGTGTGCATTAATTTAACTCATTCAAGATTTTCTGTATGAAATAATGGGTGCAGAGAAAAGACAAGGCAGTTCAAGTGGCTGGAGTGTAGCATAGAGAACAGAAAAACTACATAATAGAATGCTAATATTTAGTGAGGGCCTACTATGTGCAGGTATTATTCTAAGCATGTATTAATTTATTTAATTCTGAGCTCTGATAATCACATTTGGAAAGTTCTGGGAAAAAGAGGGAGTGGGGCATAGAAAAGTCAACCCAAAACAGTGAGTGCAAATGAGAGGTATGAGACTCAGATTTCCAATTTTCAACTGCTCTGTTTGCTCAGGGAGTCTGCGATCACGGAACGCCCTAGGGTTAAAGAGTGGCTGTTTTAATCTGCTAATGTAACCCTGCTCCAATGAGGGTCACCTTCTTGCCAATGGCAATTGGGAATATGATGAAGTTAAGGGACAACACTAAAATGGGAAGACAAGAAAAAAGAATAAAGCATTAGATGAAAAAATTAAAGTGACGGAAAAAGTGTTTTTGACAAGACAACTAGAAAGATGTTTATATATATAATTCTAAATGGAAATTTAAAACAAAAAGTTTTGGTTCACTAAACATAAGCTGTATCAATGCAGTAGGTGACAATGATCTAGGCAATGTATTAGTAAAACAGGCAATTCATAGGCTATGCACTTTTTCACACTAAAATAAATTAGACACATATCAATTGTGAAAATGAGAATGGAAAAGTTGCAAAGGAAAGAGCCAGTTTGCAGATAATGAAGCACCTTGACTGGGTATAACGATGAAGGAGGAGGGAAGGTGGGCGAGTAGAATGGGTGGAAAATGAGGAAATGGTATTGGAGAAGACTAGAGGGAGAGTGAAAGAATTGACGAAAGTTAGTGACGACACAAATAGCAAAGAAAGACAATTTCCTAGCTGTGAGACAGTCATTTAGCACAGTACAACAACGTACAATGTGGAGATTCAGAAGCATGATAGCCATAAACTAGTTAGACCCTATGAAATATTAATAGGACTGAAAAGCCATCTTAAATGTCCTTCCATTAGCTAGACATTAAGAAAAACTTTCAAGACATATAAAAGTATGAATTCATAGGCATAGAAAAAAACTATCTTGAAATAAGCTGTATTTTCTCATCCAGAAAAATCACAGATGCAATGTGACAGCTCTGACAGGAGAGTTACTTTACAGAAAACACAAACACCGTGGTGCAGCTAGTTGACCGCACAATTGCACACGAAGCATCACCCAGGATGCAGAGGAGGGAGGGGTAAGCACATTCAAGATCCAGGCCACTGATTTTCTAAGTGACCCTGGTGTAAGTCACTTATTCTCACTGCACTTGGTTTCCATAAAGAGGTGGTGGGAATGCCCACACTTGCTTTTTTGACTGTGTCCCAGGGGTACTGAGATTTGGGGTTGACACTCATTAGCTCATTGGGCACCACAGAGGAAAGATGCCATAAAACCACCAAGAATTATTATTTGTAAAACGGGCTAATGAACATGGAGAGGTTCGCAGAGGCAAAGCATTTTTAAAGGGGACTTTATGGAGAGAGTATGTGATTTCCTAAGTGCCAAAAATGAAGGATGGCAGACTGGTTACATAAATACACCAACTGTGTCCAAAAATATTTGGAAAAAACGAAATGAACCCACCAGGACAGAAATGTTACTCAAAATCTAATATGTACCGTTCTTACCAATTAGATATAGGCTCTACAGTAACTTTTCATTCAATTTAATTGGCTCATTCAGGCATGTTTTACATCTCAAAAAGGTAGAGGAATCTATTATGATAACCAGTATCATAATAACCAGTACCAGGCATGTTTTTACATATTTTCAAAGAAGGTAACAAATAGAACACTATAATTAGCCTTCTCCACTACTCCGAGAGTTCTAGAAGGGTATAATTCCTAGATTACATATAAGGGACTGGTGCGGGGAGGATAAGTAGCCAGCCCACAGCCACGTTAAGAAACTCTATGCTTAAATAACAAACTTGTGCTTTGATTTTATTCCCAAGTCCACATATTAATACTGAATATTAAATTATTTCTGCCTTCGATCATCTGCTCAGAGACAGGGGCAGAAGGAAAGGCAGGTACGGGATACTTTTTTCTGGTAATGTTATGAACAGGCAGAGGCCTCTGAAGCTTGGCATCTGGCACCCAGACAAGACTAAGGTGGCTACTGGGGGAAAGCGTGCCAGGGGCATGACACCAACACCAACAGACACTTCCACCCGGAGGAGAGAGGAGCACACAGGAAAAACTGAGGTGTGATTAAGCGAATACTGGTGGCTCAGATATGCTTTGAAAGGAGGACTTGACCTCACTGGGAAAGTTCCACCTGGACAGTTTTACCTGCATCTCCAGACAAGGCGGCTGTGCTTTTACTTCTGGCCAGGAACGAATGTGTGGGCGTCAGGAGTCTGTTAACAACGCTGCTCTCCCATGGGCTGAGCTGCAGGCGGCGAGCTAAACGTCACCACATAAGCAAGATGTTAGAAGCATTCTGTCCAGGGTCAACAGGGCGTAGACACCACACCTATTGCTTCCATGTGCCAGGCCTTCGAGCAAGACCAGGCTCTGCAAGGAGGATGGTGGCTGAGAGTTAGGGCAACAGAAATCCTGCCCAAAGGGAGAGCTATTCCCTAAGGTTGCCTTTCTACGAGATGTTAGGTTTGTGGTACGCTCTAAATTAAGTTTTACAGATGCAGATTTTGCTAACCACCCTTCTTTAGTAGTCAAATGGCAATAAAACATAAATATCATTTCAACTGTAGTTTTGGGGTATTAATAACTCCAGGGCAATAGTAGGTACTATCTGACGGGCATCAGGGTGGGCAGTGGACTGATGGCACACACCTTAGTGAAAGGGCTTCCTAAGGACCTTGAATAATAAACCCCAACAGAGGCATTGGCAAGCTAAAGAAAGACTGGAGTTATATAAAAGAGGGAAAGGGTCCCCACTGAATTATGCTAGATCTCCATGCATTGCTACTTGGGCAATGGGTGTGTGTGTGTGTGGGAATTAGATTCAATAAAATGAAAGAAGACTTATGCAGAGTTCTGTATGGGATTCCTTTTGACTTTTCCATTTGGCAAGCCAGGTTCTTTCAGGTCCCTGTTTGGCAACAAACAAAGATTTTGGCTGAGGATAAGGCTGAGGCTGAAGCAAGAGAAAATTAAACAGAAAAGCCAAAATCCTAGTGGATACCTGAAGAATCTAGAAAACAAATTAAAAATAATGCAATGATGTATGGTCTCAAATTATACTGGGGCAGGGCCATGCTTAGGAAATGTATGCCACTTATAAATTAGGGTGCAGTTTGCCTCTGGAGCAGGAGTTCTTATAACAATCTTGTATATATCATATACTAAAGAAATGGCATTTAAATTCTAGGAAATTAGTTTTTAGTTAATAAAAACCATACATTGCTAAATATTGTTATAAAAAGTATTTGTTCCTATCTGGAATGAAGTACCAACTTCCAATAAGTACCTTAATTATCTGACTTTATTTCAAAAGAGTGGCTTGTTTTGATTAAGGCTCTGATGAATTTAGAAATTAATCGTTCATTAGATTTTCTGTTTATTAGAAGAGTCTTTGTGATTAAGACATTAATAAAAAAAGACCTGTTATAAAAACTACTGCAATAGTTACAGTTGGTGGAAAGCACCATGGGATAAGTACTACCATAAACTATAGTATGGCAATGTGAGTGTGTGTAAAGGCAGAATATGACACAATCTAAAATTAGAATACACCTACAGAATAAGGTCAATGGGGAAAAAGTGATTAGGATAAATTGAAAATTTTCCAACAGCTGAGAAAGGGAAGAAAGGAAAGAAAGATGAATGTTTCCTTTTCTTAGAAAAACTGTAGGATGACTATGGCTTATAACTGCAGAGATGGGTTATCACAGAAAAGATAAGTCCCTTTTCTTTACTCCATTAAGAAGTTTAATTACTTTATTTCCATGAGTTGTCAAGGCATCGACCAAATAATTTGCCTCAAATGAAGATCATTGAAAACCCACTTGAATCTGCGTGTAAAGCAAATCCAAAGAGATTTGTTTTATAGCTCCTGATATTGTGATGAAAGATTTTGCTAGGAGAAACATGTTTCCACTTCTTTCACATTCATAACTATGTGTTGGCTGGGTGCAGTGGCTCAAGCCTGTAATCCCAGCACTTTGGGAGGCCAAGGTGGGAGGATCATTTGAGGCCAGGAGTTCAAGACAAGCCTTGGTAACATAGTGAGACCCTGTTTCTACAAAAAAGAAAAAAATCAGCTGGGCGTGATGGCACGCACCTGTAGTCCCAGCTACTTAGGAGGCTGAGAGGCCGGAGGATCACTTGGGCCCAGGAATTCGAGGTTACAGTGAACTATGATCACTCTGCTGCATTCTAGCTTGGGCAGCAAAGCTAGACCCTGCCTCGAATGATTGAATGAATGACTGACTAACTAATTATGCCTTCACCAAGATAGAGACTGATGTCTTCCACTAGATAACATTTTAGTAAAGGTTAGTAAAGCAGAGTTGGTTGATTCCTTTTTTTTTTCACCTAGACTGGCCTGATTTTGGGATTACAAAGCTGAAGGAAGAGATATTAACTCTCGTGGAACAACTCTATGGTATCGATCCTATTTAAACACTTAATGAGATACTGACAATTCCTGTAATAGACCACCCAGATCAGAGGAGGCAAACTCAAAAGCCTCTAGGTACCATGCAGGCTATCATAAATTTGATGGGCACCTGTACTACCACTTTCCTCCTATAAGCAAGAAATCACTATTCAGTTTCAGGTGATGGGTACCATGTAGAAATTAGGCAAATGTTGTCAGATCCTGATTTCTTCATCAGAATTAGGAAACCTAAATGTTATATGAAGGCTTCCATTATTTTAAATATTGGCAATTAATTCAAATTAAAGCAAGAACAAAAAACACTGCTCAGTAAAATAGAACAAGCCTGTAGGCAGAACTCAGCTTGACGTCCACCACTGCATCCTTTGATGGAGATTCTAGGGGAAAAAATGTAATGACTAATTTAAAGCAAAGATGGGCAACTTTATTCTTACTCTTCAAACTTTCTATTGTTCTTTCTTGAGTAAAAGCTGGTTAAGCAAATAGCTTAAAGATAATAATATACACTTTTAATGTAAAAATTTTCAGTGGTGACATTCTCTCTGTTGCAACAATTATAGAAACCTTTAATAATCAGAGTTTTCCTTTCACTCAGGTAATTTTATCCATGTAACACTATATCCAGGGGTAATAATCAAAATATTTAAAAGCCAGTGGGGCAAAGGCACAGAGCCTCCATTAGACTGGCCTCCACTGGCTTCCAAGGGCCTGAGGCAGCACATCTTAGAGAAATGGCTATTTATCAAGTGATACATTTTTAGTAACCAGTACAGCTGTTCAGATGCATTCCAGATGAATGTCATCGCCGATGGTATCAGAGCCTCAATTTAATATCAGCTTTAAAGTCTATACCATAGAACTGAGAAAGCTTGAACACTAATAATGATGTATATACCCACTTGACAGATTTGTCCACAAAGCCCTCTAATTTAATAATCTGGTAAGAATGGTTTCTAATGAAATAATAAGGTATAACCAACTTTTAGAAATAGCAGAAAATTAACTGAATTACTTATATCTCCAAATTAGAGAAATTCAAATTCAGAAGAATTTTTATTTTTATTAAAAGGTGTAAGTCTCTAACAGTCTGAGGGTTTTGCCTAACTTAAAAAAAAAATTGGTTGGGCTAGTCGGGCTCTAGCCTGTAGTCCCAGCTACTTGGGAGGCTGAGGCAGGAGGATCGCTTGAGGCCAGGAGGATCGCTTGAGGCCAGGAGTTTGAGACCAGCCTGGGCAACATAGATCCCTACTCTAAGCAAAAAAAATGCTTCCTGGACCATATGGGAGCCTCCTCCTGGCTGAGCTGGCCTGTTAGACCAGGAACTGGTTCACAGTTTTTTGGTAAAGGGGCAGAGAAGCAGAACTCCCAAGTTTAGCGCTCTCCCTCCTGTCCTGTTAGTTCAGCTTAGTATTCAACTTTCTAGGTCTGCACTATGATTCAAGGGGCAGTTTTCTGGCCCAAGCTATGAAATGATTACTGAACTTCCCTTGACACCGATATCCTATGTCCTATCTCTCTACTTCTAACCTCACCCTGCAAAAGAATGCACAGAGTAGATCAAAGAGAGGACACCCATGCAGGTAAGAACTGAGGATGTGGTGTGGCAACTGCATGGGTGAGGAGCTGGTGATGGCTGTTCTAGCTGCCTCCTGCAACAATTAGCCTGTAGGACATTAAGTCAGGCTCTTGACTTCTTAGGGGCTCTATCACCCCAACAGAAGTAGATGATCCATCCAATAAATCTTTCTCAGTCCTAAAACTCTAAATCACAAGAGCAGCGAATTAGATACTATCATACAGGGTACATAAAACATCTTATTTCTAATTGATACAGACAATTCAGCATGGTCATTCCACAGAAATGTGGACAGGAGACTGCCCAGGTTATTGCCCAGCTCTTCACACCCATCCTCACTCTGATTTCAGCTATGGGATTGTAGGAGGCAGTGAGCAATGTTTAAAGTACCATAAAACCTTCATTGCAGTTTGTCTCAGACCCAGGTTCACAAAAGTATGAAATTAAAGTGTTTAATAAGTGACCAGTTCCAGAGAAAAGACGAAGGAACAACTGTTAAGAGCAGCATTCACATGCTATATTTTGTATGAGGGACTAGGTTTGAAAATAAAGGATATTTATGAAACGAATTTTAATTCGTAATACTTATTTAAGGTCCCTAATTTGACTAATATCGATGATTAAGGCAAATGAGGTTAAAAAACACAGGAATGGTTTCCGTTAAAAAGCAAGAATAGGAAGTTGTTCAAAGATTGACTGCTTTAAGAGGTTAGTTATAAAATAACATCAACACTTACATAACATTGTACATTACAATGACACCATAACTTTTATATAATACAAAATATACATACACACATACAGAACATGCACACATTACATTCCTTTTAAAGATTATA